CTGCAACTCTTCTGTCCTCCTGAAAGTCTTGTAAAGCATAGCTCACTACCGGCTAGCCTATAGCCCGGTCTATACTCAGCTTGCTATAACCGTGGCCATGGAACACACCTCTTTCAGACTGCAACTCTGTGCGAGACTATGTACTAGTTTACCGTCCAGACGGCAAAGTTGTCCCTGCCACAGCCATAACACCTCCCTTTGGTCCTCGGCGAGCCTCCTCTTGTCTCCAGGCTGGCAAAGCTGCATGTCCTTCTGGAATGTCAAGATCTTGAAAGGCCGCAAGTAATGCAATAGAAAGGGCTTGAACCACGTGTCAACGTTGAAGGAGGGCCAGATTCGGTGCCGAGCCGACCTGTAGTACCAGTCGTAGAAATACTCGTTAAGGAATCCCTCAGCATTTGGGCGGTGAAGGTTGGGCAAGTACGTGGCCTTCTCGAGAAGATCTTGGAAAGCTTCCTTGGAGGGCTGCACAACCATGACTCGAGAGGAGAACTGATCAGGAGGGAAACTCGCGGGAGCCGCAGCAAAGGGTAGGTAGTCGAAAAGATTTGACGTTCTCAACAAACAGGGACACGGGGTGGACAAAGACGACCCTGGACCATTCTGTCAGGTTCCAAAGATGAAGAACGTTGTACTCCTGTCCCAGAGTAAACACGGCTCCTTTTGCGTCCTTGGTCTTCAGAGGACTCACGACCCTCACGAAGTCGAAGAAAGGTACCAAGGGGGCCCACAGGTCCCGTTCGGCCGTCGAGGGAACTAGTAGCATTATGCATCTCGAGCTGCTGCCCTTGTGCTGTTGTCTGTACGACTGTGCCCAGACTGCTGCCTCTAGCATCGTCGTCTCACTCACCAGAGTCACCACCACCACCTTCTCTCGGTCAGACCAGTTTGGAAGTTTTCCCTCGACTGGCACATGCTGCTTCCCAGGTAACTTCAAGAAAGAAGAAGAAGACGAAGAAGGAGAAGAAGGAGAAGAAGGAGAACAAGAAGACGAAGAAGGAGAAGAAGGAGAAGAAGGAGAACAAGAAGACGAAGAAGGAGAAGAAGGAGAAGAAGGAGAACAAGAAGACGAAGAAGGAGAAGAAGGAGAAGAAGGAGAACAAGAAGACGAAGAAGGAGAAGAAGAAGACGGCGACGAAGAAGAAGGAGGAGGAGGAGGAGGAGGAGGGAGAGAAGGAGGAGGAGGAGGAGGAAGGGGAAGCGACTGACCACCGGCCGGCGAGGGGATAGAATCAGATAAAGGATATGGAGCCGTTCTCAGCGGAGGATTCTTGTAGTCGGCGGCGATAGACTCGGTACCAATTTCGATGGGGAAGAAACTGACTAGGCGCAAGGGACCCGGGAGGTTCAACAGGGCGCCAACTGTTGCTTGCCAACCTGGCAGCCACGGCTTTCCACGCCTTGCACCACACGGTACCACGAGGTTTGTCGTCGGACTGCCAGGGTTTAGACCATGGGCCTGTGAAGTGAACGTTACGGATCGGAGCCTCCTGGAGTAGCTCGTTTGCCTCCGGATTCGCCCCTCCATTCCACATAACTCCCCCTCCTCCTCCTCTTGCACCTGCTACAACTCTAGGCAAATGCAGGAATTCGTCTGCGCGATTAACATTGAACCAGCGAGGTGGATGGTAATGCTCTGCAAAATGAATACTGGGATTGAGTCGGAAAGGGAGTCGATGGTCGCTAGGCATTTGAAACCATCCACTGAAGTAGGCGTTGAGGAACCCCTGATCCGTTCCGTCATACGATGTCATCCTTGGTATTGCCGACACCATGGACTCATACGTGGCATTGGATGGTTGAAGTACCATCAACCCGCTGTTGAAAAGATGTGCGTCGAAGCTATTCGGTCCAGCCGCTGGTTCTGGCCGCTCAAACAAGTCGTCTAAGTTATCTAGCACTAGAATGTCAATGTCCACGAAGACCACCTTCGTGTACTCTGTCAACGCCCAAGCGTTTATCTTGCTGAATCCGGCATGATTCGAACGACTGACAAGTTTGACCTCTCGACCGACATCGAAATGCGCCTGCAGCAGCTCCCGCATTTCCTTCTCGTCCTTGTTGCTGCCGCCGTCGCTCTCTCTGCTACTACCACCTCTCTCTCTCTCTCTCTGCCTCCTCCCCTCCAACCTCCATCCACTTCCCACCACTCTTCTCCCAACCCTCCACGAGCATAAGGACGAGATCATGAGGAGTGCCTGTGCTTCGCAGGCACTGCGCAAGCACGAGTGCTTGCGGCACTAGACTCGGAGTGTTTAGCAATGCCACGTAGGCGTAACGCTGCCGCTTACTACCAATCAGATGATGCTGTTGTCCCACTACGCGTGGAGTTTGCTGTTTGGAGTTTCTTCCCCCAGTCTTGGCCCCGCTAACCAGCGTCCCGATCTTATCGCCGACAGTCTCGTTCTCGAGAATCCCGACCTGCGGCACCGCTCTCGCGTAGTAGCCGTATTGCAGCGGAACGTAACCCCAAAGCCGAGCGAGCTCATCCAGACACTCACCGCGATCCCTCTCTCGCCGCGCTCGTCGCGCTCCGACTTCCCCCTGTCCCGACGTCTGCCTGTCTTTACCCCCGCCATCTTCGATCCGCCTTTCCCGCGCTCCGCGATCCCGATCTATCGAATCTCCCCCGACAAGCACAGGCGCCGACTGACTCTCGTTGGCCACGAGGAAGTTCATGGCAATGCCAGCGCACCCCGCCTCCCTCGACACGAGCTCCCGTACCCCAGGAGCGTTTCGACAGGTGTAATCGTACAAATACTTAGTCGCTAGCAGCATGAACCTGCTTGAAATCATGGAGTATCGAGTACTAGATGAATAGAGGTATTCCCAACTCCTAGTCTCTGTGTTGTACTGGTGCGCCCTGGGAGAAAACCCGACTATCCGATCACGATTGCTTCTCCACACCTTCAACGCAAACTCTAAACTGCTAGGCTCTGGCAGTACATCATCGTCAGTGATGGCAACGGCAGCAGTTCTGATGACTGTGCGAGGAAGGAAGTGCGAAGTCGAGGCGCCGGCAATCCGTATAACAGGGATCCCGACGCAATCGCCATCGCCTTCGCCATCGCGATCGCCATGGATCTTGACGATTTCTTCAAGCTCGGAGAAACTACCATTGCCAGAGAAACTACCATTAACGGAGGAACTGCCATTAACGGAGAAACTACCATTAACGGAGGAACTACCATTAACGGAGGAACTGCCATTCTCGTTGACACATGAAATGATGATGGCATCGACAATACCGATGCGACATAACAATGCCAAGTCCTTTCCCGGAATCAGAATCCGGTCTGACGTCGGGGTTCCGACGAGTAGTAGGGTCAACTTGTCATCTCGAAGATAATCCGATCGGGGATATTGCGCTCGATCACACACAACATCCGATTTGATGGGATCATTTCTTCCGGCGAGGGTTGAGTTCATGTGACGGACCCGCCGGGATGGCGGTCCGTCAGGATCAAGACGAAGGGATGAGGATGGGGGAGATGGAGATGGAGCTGGAAGGGACAGCGCAGCTCCAACGCAGACTCAACACACACATACTCCAATCTGTGCAAATGAAGAATGAGCCACAAAACAGACTGCAGCTGGGGTATACCCCCAGCGGACTGACTGGACTGGACTGGCCTGGCCTGGTACCGACAGTGGTACGGGGTAGGACTGGACTGGACTGAATAACCGC